CGCTGCTGCTTTTCGAGGGAAAATGTAAGAGGGTGTTATGTTTTAAGCCACATTGCTTGCATTGTCCAAAAATGCAAGCGTTCGAATTGTGACCTGCTTTCAGGCAATTAACACATCGATTAGCCCCTTTAATGACTTTATGACGTTCCAAAGGACATAAATTTAAAAAATCTTGACAATGGTAAATGGGATGAATTTGCTTGCTACACAAGAAACATTTTTTTGAATGTTCAGACGCTGTTGCCGCAAAACGAACTTGTTTTCTTTGATCAAAATTTCTTGAATTGACTATTTGATTGTTCTCTGTTTGTAATTTTTTCGATTTAATACATGAATTGTTTAAAACGTTACTGTACTCTAAGAGAAAACCTTTAAGTTCGGAATACGTAGGTACTTCAACCGACTTAAATTCTAATTCAAACGCTTTTCTTGTATCTGTGTCTAATTTAACTAATAAAATATTGAATAACGGAAAATTCCACTCATCTGTAGGAAAGCCTAACAATTTCAATGATTCAACGTTTTCGTCAAACGTATTGATAAGTTGTTTTAAACTACCCGTTGATTCGTTGTATACCTTGGGAAATGCCATTATTTGATCCCAATACGCCGTTGCCAAACGTCGTTTATTATTGTATTCATCCATTAATTTATTGTATGCCATGATATAATGTTCTTCCGCGACTGGAATAGATTTAATAAAAGATTTTGGCTTGACACTAAGCGAGGTCAGCAAATATTGAAATTTTTCCATGTTTGACAGCGAAGTATTGTTGTGAACTAAACTGTGAAATAAATCTCGAAACGATAACCACATTTGAAACGTTCCGTCAAACATAGGAAGCTGTAATTTAGGAAGTTTTACATTGGACTTAGACTCCCGTGTTACGTCATTACTAGACGCTGAACCATTACTGACCGTTTTGACTGCCGTATTGTCTAATCCAAAAATTTTCGCGTAACTAGTTTTAATTGCATAATAATAGTTATCACACTCTACCCTAGCCCTTTCGTGTTCAGCCGCGTCAAATGTTTTAGCCTTAATTTTTTTTGTCATGATTTGTTGCTGAATATGTTGAAATTCATTAAATAAACCTTGAATTTGTTCATATCGAAATTTAAAAGGTATGTGAACAGTGTCATCAGTCTCTGCTTGAAGAGCAATGTCTCGCGTTTCCTTTAAACGATTTTTTGCCGTATCTAATGAAACCTCTAATGCTTGTATTGCTTCCGCCATTGTTTATAGTGCAAATTGTGCAGGTAGCAAACAAAAAAAAAAAAAAAATGCTTGTATGGCTGATTTAACCAGTGGTAAAAAAAATATTAAGTGTTTCGTACGATTAAAGAACTTTATGGCACAAATAGAAACTTGCAATAAATTATAAGGATTAGTGTTAAGGAATTGGTGGACTCACCGGATTTTATCGGCTGATTGTGAAAGTTTCCAATTCGATGATTGTGGCTGTTGCCACTTTGATGATTGCTGCGTGTAGATTGTGGCTGTTGCCACTTTGATGATTGCTTTTGTGTAGATGTAGACTGTTGCTACGTTGATGATTGATTTGTGTAGATTGTAGCTGATGCCACTTTTATGTAGATGTAGACTGTTGCCAATTAATTGCCCACATCCGGTTCGAAGGACCAAAAAATGTTGTGAATTGTTGTGACGTTAATTGTTGTGAATTAAACTGGCTTGATGAACCATAAATGAGGTTGTAAATTGAATCCTTGATGGATCACGAATTATTGATGATTGTGCAATTTGATTGAAACACTCACTTAATTAAAATAACACAACTTTATTAACTATGTACAATAAAAAATGTTGCCCAGAGATCTGCTGATCCTGAAGCGAACATGTTAATCTTACGACTGCTTAATATTGACTCTTAAAATATGTGCAAGAAGTAAAAGTTATACTCCCTTAAATCAAGTGGCTGTTGCGCCGTAGGCAAACAGTTATGCCCGCCCTTAGGGTTGACAGCCAATCAAGGATGGACATTATTTGTAACATTGTAATGTCATCCTAGGACTATAAAATAAATAGGTATACAATTGATCATAAAAATAATACTACTTAACTATAATATTAACAGGTATAAGATTGACCAGATATCCAATTGTTACTTTATTATTGCCTTATTTGGCTATCTGGGACGTATCATGTAGGTATCGTTTAACAAATATAATTAGGTTTAAATTCTAGAAAAAATTATAAAATAAATTATTGTATGCCATTTGGCACAGGATTTTAGTTAGTACTTTTTTGGAAAACGTGTAAAAAGGCTTAACATGAAATTGTGTTAAGTTGCAACAAAAATGTTTAAACACACATTTTTCACTGTAAATTTACGGCCCAAAAACACAAAAAGATTGACAAATTTAAAATTCATTACAATTTTTATTACTCTCCCAATAAAAGCAGCTTCTATAATTGATCAGTTATCGAGGCATATTTTACCGGCACCTGAACGCGAGTTCTAAAAGAAAATTGAACGTATCAGGCAAACAAGATAAAGTATAATTAAATTTTGAAAGTTTTATGAGCTAACACAATATTCTACTTAAGCGAAAGTACGAAAAAGCTGCAAACTTCAACAATATTCATGCTAATGTTGTTTTGCAAATAGGCTTTGTTTTATTATTTTTAAAAAGCTTAACCACTCACGTATAATAGTGAAGTAAAGTAATGGATAAAGAATAATGATAATTATTTAAATTTATACATGTCTTAAAATTAATTGTGAGGTTAAGGCCCAGTCATTTTATTCTTGACCGGGAAAAATATTTCCCAAAAATTCCTGCTTCCTGAGGATCCTGCAAGTGCAAAATTAAAACAAATTTTCTTTCAGTCATGGATGTATTAACAATGGACGCGTAACGCTTATTCTTGTTTATTAAAGTGTTGAAAAACTAAACCTAATTGTCATTGTCATAACCTCGAAACGAAAAGTTTGTTTTGTGTTTTTCTAAAAATAGCTTAGAGCTCCATGTAAAATACAATGGTAGTTTTTTCTGCGTTGGGTTGTAGAAGTAGTATAGGTTATAATGACGAGAATAAAGAGCCTGAAATAACCTTTCAGAGGTAACATAACCTTAAAATTCGCTTTTTAATTAATAAATCTTTTTATTTTAATCTGTACCTGGTAAACCATCATGTAATAAGTTGTAATCCATTGAAGGATGATGGTTTTCGCCAAAGAAAGCAAGTTTTTCCTTTTGCGTTAGAGCTTGTTTTTTTAACAAAAAAATTATAAAAATTAACCTATAGGTTAGAAAGCAAGTTTTTCCTTTTGTGTTAGAGCTTGTTTTTTTAACAAAAAAATCATAAAAATTAACCTATAGGTTAATTTTTATAATTTTTTTGTTAAAAAAACAAGCTCTAGCGCAAACCTATAGGTTAATTTTTATAATTTTTTTGTTAAAAAAACAAGCTCTAACGCAAAAGGAAAAACTTGCTTTCTCCTAAGGCATTTATTTGGCACAACACTGGATTCGTTTAAACTATGAGCAACATGTAATCGGTTGGGGTCGACGAACTAAGTAGAGTTGATAATTTTAATGAGCTGACTATACTTTGTTCGACCACAGCTATTGCTGACGCAACGAAACCAGTGTCTGCCCTTCAAATGCTTAATATTAAAGTTAATTTTTATAATTTTTTTATTTAAAAACAGTAGCACTAATGCAAAAGTACTGTGTGTAATAGCTTTACTTACTTTGGCGTGAACTATCATCCACTTTTTGAATGTCCTTTGCCATCTTTGATTTTAGTGGTGGGTTTGTTTTTCCTAAATAACACTTTATTTTATTACTTTACGTGAAAACTTTCAAAGGTAAAGTTTTAGAGTATAAAATTATCTTCAACTTATATGACTTTTTTGCCGTTTCTTTCAATAAAAGGTGGCATATTCAAAAGGAAAAGTTGCTGCCGTCTTAATTTGCAACACATTTTGTATAAACAATTAAATTATATAAACAATCCTTCGTTTCAAGTAATTCGCCCCATTGTGCTATTGCAGGAATAACACTAACCATATAAAGCATGCTCTCGAAAATTAGTGTAAAACCTCTTCAATTATAGAGATTAGTTACTTAAAATAAACATACTGTTAAAAACTATGATTTTTTTAAAACATTTTTAAAAATCTATAATTTTCAGTAGAAGCGTGACATTACAAAACTATATATTGGTGTAACAGTCGTGTCAAAACTTATGTGTAAAATATGTTTCAAAATCACATTTTTCATGATATTATATGATTTATAGTTATAAGATTAATGTTTTGCCAGTATAAATTTTGTTAAAAATACTATTAGATTTTGTAAATACTATCAAGCACAAGTGAGTAAATCTAAAAAAGCCCTGGTGAAGACAAGTTTATACCGTGTTATTTGAAATCTAAACCGTAAAAACAAAGAAGACGCAGAAAGCTAAAACAAAATTTGTTACAATTTGGCTTTTTCGTGTTGGCATTTTTTCCATTCAATTCTGTGTGAAATGACTGCCCATGTGGGGAAAAACAAAGGGCTCAAGATTAGTCCAATTCTACACTACTCTGGCCCAAGATTTGAAGCCCGTCTAGGCCAAATAATAACTTCGTGCCAAGCCTGGCATAATAGTATTGGGCCAAGCCTGGTAATAAACCTCTGGGCCAGGACAAAATATTGAGGCCTGGGCAAATGTTCGGTGGTAAGAACAGACCAAAGCTTGGAAACCAAGGCTTGGTCTTGAAAGTTTGGCCATGCAGGAAATGCCAAGACTGACAACGGGGCCAAGCTTGTCTGTACTTTGGACTCTAGTTTAAATATAATGGTCCAGGCCTCGGCCAGGCTTTAAAAACCGAGTCTTGGTTTCCAAGTCTCTGACCAAGCTTTAGCCAGACTTTCAAGACCGAGTCTTGGATCCCAATTCCCATGAATGGGTGGGCTAATATTTTTTTTAATAAAGAAACTTATTTTGTAATTTGAGTAATGGCATTTTATTTTATTAAATTTAGTTAGGCATAGATATAACAAACATTATTTTTAATTTCCTTTATTGTGATAATTTGTAAACATTGAAATTTTTACTTTGGATTTTTCTACGAAATTAAAATGCTTGCGAAAAATAAGTGTTTTAATTATTCTATTCTAAAGTTTTATGATTAAAAAATAACTGCCTTTTGCATCTTGTGGAACATTTTCACCAAAAACAATCTTCTTTTTAGATAAACAATTTCCATTTTCCAAGTTTTCAATTGAATCACACTCTAGTGCTTTCAAATTGTTTGAGTTTATCGATTTGACAAAAGTTTCCAATGATAAAGTGGAGTTTTTGCTTAATGATTTATCTAAAAAAATATTATTGAGGCTATTATTATATAAATTAAAACATGTAATCAAAGCAATTTACAATCTCGTTTTAAAGCCCTAGATCATAAAAGTAAATGTTACAGTTATGTAGAAAATACAATGATAGCTATTAAGGCTAACAGTAAAAAATATACGTATAACTTTTTATTGTCTATTAAACATTAAACACTAATTTTATATTTAATAAAGCTAAACTTATAGAAATTATATTCAATTAAAAAAAAATGCCTTTCTAAATTTATAATTTTAAATGTTTTCAATAGATAGTCGATCACAAAGGTAAATTTAAAAAGAATAGGATTAAAGATTATTGTTCCAGAAAAAGACAAATTAAATTAGTAAAGTTAAAATTGGAATTTATTAAGCTTAATTGATTTTTGTAGCTTCTTGGTGAGATTCTACAGTGCATTTTAGTCTGAATTAATTAATTGAATATTTTTATGCGCCTAGTATTCTGGGAGAAACATTTCATTTATCCATTTTTGATTTTATATTAAAAGAGAAAAAATATTCTTTTGTTGGAGTTATCTTTTATTACCTTAATATTATTTTACTTTTATATAACTAAAATAGAAATATAATACTGTTTTTTTACTGAGTAAAAATCAAGATAATAGAGGTCCTTAAAATTTACCTTTCCTATAATATATTTCGTCATAATATTAAAAATACACTGCTCCAAGAAATTAACGCACCGCACCAAAATTAATTTATTATTTTTAATATGTTTTGAAAATGGTAAAGATAAAGGTAAACAATATCTGTATATTTATTTAAAAATAGTTTTTTTTTTCAAGCGGCCATGATATACAACCTTATATGCCTGTATAGAGATAGTTGAAGTGCGTCTTTTTCATTAGCGGCAGACAAAAAACTCAAAAAAGCCTAGGAATAGAAGTAAATCCATAGGTGTCTCAATAGACGTCAAATAATAAAATTAATTTAGAATTTCATACAAAGCAATCACGTTGTATTAATTATATTTATTATAATCGCACGGAATATTTAGTGATTATTTATTAAATTTTAATTGAAAGAAATAAAGAACAACTAGTTTATTAGTATAATATTATGATGATAGACGAGTTGCCAATGTCGGAACTCCAAACAAATGTCAGTACGTCAAAATTAATTCAAGCGCAGCATTTTGACAGAGCAGGGTTTATTTTTAGTTTAGGCTTTGTTATCTATGGTTTAGGATATTTATCGGCATTGTAAGTAAGGGTTATAAGTTTTTTTAGTTTTTATCAATAATTTCTAATGCTTTTAGCCAAAATTTTATACCACATGAGTTAAGAGTAAATAAAATAATTCCATTGCTTATCATTTATATTACGCCCTTGAAAAAAAAATTGTATATGTTATTTGGAGTAGAAGCTCTTTTTGTGCTTCGTACAGTTGCCTGCCTCAGCTACGCTTCGGCCGTCAATCTCTGTACTCACCACAAAAAGAGTCGCTTCTACTCCTTATGACATAATCTACTATTTATTTATAATGTCAGAAAAAAATTCCTAAAAATAATGTTTTTTTCAAAAAATTAAAAATAAACAGAATACGATTTTTATAAAATTTGTACTTATTATATTATATTGTATATTGGGTATTTCCACCTCTACTACGAATGACAGCCTCACATCTTCTGTTCATACTCAAAATCAGGGTTCGAATTTCATTTTGGTCCAAATTCTCCCAAATTTCCAGTAGAAGGCGCTCTACATCCTCTAAGTTATTCGGACGGTTTGGATGGTCAGAACTCGTTCCCAATCCGCTTCTACCCAGTTGACGTGCTTTCTAGCAAAATTTAGCCGGGCTCTGCGATGATCCACGGTTAAGAGCGGGTCTCGTGCAGGAATTCCGGGTTGCAAATTATCTTCCCTAAGTCGTTGTCGAATGGTTTCAATACTTATTCGAACCCCTTATAGGTTTTCCAACTAAGACTGCAACATTCTTGTAGTCACAAACCGTTGTCTCAAAGTTAAAAGTCTTAAAAGACGATCTTGAGCAGAAGTCGTAGCACGATTTCTACCCTGACATGGTCTCCTAGTATGGCCATCAGTCTCCATGTACCGTTGAAACATACTAGAAATGGATGTATGGGATACACCAAACCTTTCAGCTATTCTGCGGTAACTCCAAACTTCTTGCACTAAAACAACCACTTGGGCACACTCATCGCGAGTTAAATTTCTCGATTGCCGTTGCATCTTGACAATAAGTGAAAATTAAAAAGAAAATAGAGATGATAAATGAAGTCTAACAAAACTGCGAGCTGCGGCGATACTTTAACCTTTTGTAGTAATTTACCAGAATTGGTATATTCGACATAACAGAAAACTAAACATCTTATAAAAACGTTTACACACTTTTTAATATACGAGGGTGTTTCAAAATTAATATAAACATTGTACTCGTACAATTTACTTTGATAGAAAATTTTATTTACAAAATAATACGTGGTGCGTTAATTTCTTGGAGCAGTGTATTAATGAAACATATTAATTCTAAATAATAATAATATATTTTTAGTATTTTCGTTTTTCAATATTATAGTGGTATTTTTTAATATATAATTATTTTATCTACTTCTTTTGCATAATTTTTTCGTAAATAATGATAAACATTTCCTGCCTAACAACGTGAATATTGAACTCATTACTTACATTGTTAGGCATCAGTGATTGGCCGATTTTTATATTCACTGTGATTTGAACCAATGAAGTTTTTAAATTGGTAGAAGGCGACTATAATATCATTTAAAATTGGTAAAAAGTGAGGTTAACTATTTGACATGTCAGACTTTATTTAATTATTTTTAAAATCATTTAATTATTAGCTTATCGGAGTAGATAAAGTATAGTATTACATTCGGTAGCTACGCCACTGCTCAGAAGTAAAGGGCAAAATTGGAAGAAAAGTGGTCCTTAAGTGAAGTGGCACACGTAACTATTTATATTCATTAACTTTTATTACAGGACAATTCTTCAGTTTATACCGGTCGAATAGTACGAGAGTGTGACAACAACCACAATATAAATGTTTTGCCATGGCCAGCAAGAAGTTCTGACTTGAACTCTATCGAGAACGTATGGGGCCTCATAGTAAAAAAGTTATATCGAAGGGATTTTAGGCCAGCAAACCGCGAACAATTGTGGTACGCTGTTGAAAATGTTTGGAAAGAGCTTGTCGATTCCTACGACATGCGACATTTAATTATGTCCATGTCCAGAAGACTGGAGAGTCTTTTGGCAGCAATAAAGTATTAGTATCCAAAAGGATTTTGACGGATATGTTCAAAGAGATCATGGTGTTCATTCTTATTATAAGTATACCTTTCTTACACCTTTTTTGAAATGTCTTCGTAATCTATGTTGTTCCTGTCAGCGTTTTATGCAGCTTTTACTAACATTTTAATTAGCAGCTACTTTAATTAAGGACCAATTTTGTTACAATGTTAATTTAAATTTTTAATAAAAAAAAGAGTTGGTTATTTTATTTTATTTAATTTCTTTTATCTACTCCCCCATTGATAAGCTGTGACTTTAAGGCGTTTAAATGATTATGTTCATTTTAAATATAGTGCAAAGAAGTGTAAAACTTACTTTTTATTCAATCGTATAACAATTTTAATATAAAACTTATAAGCCTATATAAAAAACTATTATTATACACCGCTGTAAAATAATAAAAATAAATTGAAATTACATAGAAAGAGTACCCATCTATCGCGGTTAGCTCGAAATCAGCAAAAAAAATTTTAACTTACAGGTCACTGTAGAATAAATTTATGTATATACCAATAATATAACTTGTCAAACGTCAAACCTGACAAAATTCGATAATTTCAATGTCCAGAATTATTAAATGCATAAAAAATAAATTTATATAAAACACTGCGGAGAAAGCTCAGATCTGCAGTATTTTTATTTTAAATTTCCAGTCCTGAATACCCAACTTATAACAGATTTTGATTTTGACATTTTTTTTTTTAATATTTAAAGAACCACTGGGTTGTTTTCCAATTTTAACTTTAATTTTAATAGCCTTTTCTTTGATATCAGGGGCAGATCAGAAATATTTCGGGGGGTTTTCTTAATCAAACATTTATTTTTACATAATATTTAAGAAATTTAATATTTTAGAATTTTAATTTTTAAAAATATTTTTAGGTGACCAATTAATTGAATCATTTAGGATATATATTCTTCTTGTTTAATACTTTATTTTTATGTTACTTAATTTAAATGGATATTTTTAAACATGCTATTTGATGACAAAAAAATGCAGGCTTGCTAGTGGTATGTGGGTCCTGGAGCGCCGTATCTGAAAGTGGTCCCCACAAACATGGGTAGGCATAAAAAATAATACATCCTATAACAGTGGTAATACTCAGTACGGATCGAGAGGTCCGTGGTTTGGAGCTTGCCAGATTACATTCATACTTTTTATTTTTTTTAAAATATTCTTAAAAATAAAGTAAAAACTTTATTGAAATGTCATTAACATTAGAGAGGCATTTTCAAAAACAAAGTTCCAACAATTTCGGTGAGGTTTGACCCCCCTTACTCCCCCTGAATAAATTACTATGTAGCTCTTTACCAATACTGAGTACGAATCCAGAGGTCCGTGGTTTGGTGTTCGCCTGAATATATACTTTCAATTTTTTAGAATACCTAGTCTTAAAAATAAAGAGAAACTACATTGAATTTCATTAACATTAGAGAGGCAATTTGAAAAACATAGTGACACAAATTTAGGGGGGTGAGGTTGATCCTACTTACCCCCTAAATCCCCCACTTCCTGATATAAATAACTGTGTAGCTCTTTAAATAAAAAAATACCCATACATAGTGCACCCATTACGCATGTCACATATTTTTAATATAATACGTAATCGATGAAGTTGCCAAATACACAGCTTTAAAACAATTTCTATTTACCCTGTTTATGCGGACCTAATAATGTTAATATTTTGTGGAATATTTTAAAAGATAAATAAAATAAAATTATTATTACCGTGTACGCAATCTTTTTTGTACAAATAAAAATTGACATCTCCCAGGCGAGTTTCATTTTCATTAAAGTTAGAGTGCACCGTATCCACGAAATTAACATTTTTGCTTAAAATTTCAGCGTTTGGCCCGCCTTTTTCATTATTAATTAAGCTGTAAGTGGGCTCTAAGCTGGTAAGCCTATTTACTTTTCTTTTAGTTAATTCGGGAAGTCGTTGAGCGACCGCAAAAGCCACCCGAGATCCAGACGCAATTCCGACCAAGTGAATGTTTAGGTACTCTTCTCCTGTTTTATTAAAAATGGTCGCTATAAATTCAGCCACTTCATTAACAACTTTGTTTGCTGCTTTGGTAGTTTCCTCGTTTAAAGTATACTCGACTATAAAAACGTTTGTGATTTGCTTTTTTAAGTATTCGTTTATTATGCCGGATAAATTGTGTGTGTTTTTTTCGTTAAATATAAAAATCAAGGGTTTTAGCACATTGATGCTTTCTTTGTGTATGTCTGATGTTGTCATTATTACTCCTTTCGGCAAATATGATGTTACATATGTAATGGATGTGTTTTCTACTGAACCTAAAACAAACAAAAATAATTTTTATTTTAAATTGATATTTGATTACAAAATCTCTTTGGTAGAAAATAATAAGCAGTTATAATTAATATTACAATCATGTAAAGCTAGAAATAATATTTTATCTACGACTGCTACGTCAATTTTCAAAAACAGTACCTACTGTCAACTTGGCATGTGAGTAGGTCATACTGTACACTGTCACATAATGAGAGTGCATATTTTAGTTATTTACGATATAAGTGGGATAAGAGCTTTATTAACGTACGCATGCGAAATTTGCCCAACGAGTGCGTAGCACGAGTTGGGCAATCGCAAAAGTACGTTAATAAAGCGTTATTACACGTATATTGTACAAATTTTTATCTACGCCTCTAAATGAAAAAATAAACAGTAATTATTTTTGTCTAAGACCTAATTTAGGGTTATTTTGACATTTTGACATTCTGACTTTTTTATTTGATTGGTTAAAAGCAGAGAAAAACGCGTGCGTTAATGAACTTCTTATCTCACTCAAAATGAGTGCGATAAGAAGTTCTTATCTCACTGGCGTAGATAAATGTTTGTCAGAACTGTAAGTGTCAAATTAAAAATATTAAACAAATATTTTAAGACTTTAAATAATGAGGATAAAATGGGGGCTACTACCCTAAAAGTGATCGAACAAGCTCAAAACATCATTCTAAATCGAAGAATGTGCAATAGCCAAATTAGCAGAAAATTGGTCTTTAAGTAAAGTGGTTGCAGATTGAAATTTCAGTTACAGCTGCATATTTTATATCAAGGAACGTTGGCAATAACAACAAATATTGGGAAGACCTATCAGGCAAGGTGTAGGAAAATCTCCAAAGAAAATGAAGACAATGCTTTTGTCGCACATATTAGGCAAAATCCTTTCAATATCGCAGTTAAGGCCCGAGAATATACACAATTTTCAGGATCTCTTCGAACAGCTCAAAAAATATTTAAACAAGCTGGCTTAAAAAACTGTGCTGCTGCTCATAAGGTTTTTTTAATTGACGAAAATAAGCGCAGGAGAGTCCCGTTCGCCAATGACTATCTAAGTTATGGAGAGTAATTTTGTAATAATGTTATATTTTCCGATGAAAAAACGTTCCAATCTTGCAATAATGGAAGGCTGCGTGTATATCGTCCAACAGACGCAAGATTTAAGGAGCACTACACATTAAGAACCATTAAGAACGCTTTACCATAAATGATTGGATGTGGATAAGGGTCCATGGTGCGGGAATATGTTGGAAATTCTCCAAGCCAAGAAGGTTGCAAAGTGTTGTGGCAGCTAATGGCTCTGCAATTAGGTTTTAAAATAGCTTATGAGCAGCAGCACAGTTTTTTAAGACAGCAAACCGAAATGATCTACGGAATGCTGTTGAAAATTCTTGGGAAGATCTTAAGACATTTAAATCTGCAGCTATTTCTCTTAAATACCAATTTTCTTAAGCAATATGTTAATTTAGTTATGTTATTTTTATTTTTTATTATTTATTTATCTACTTGTTATTATTGTTGTACAAAACCAAATTAAAGTTAATTTATTTGTAATATTTTTTATATTATTGTTTGTTAAAAAAAATAGAACGATTTATGATATTGTTCTTATTCTTAGTATGCTCCCCTTTATTTGTAACACCACTGCAGTGAATGAACGAATGAATTTTATAAAAAAAAATCCATGACAAACAAAAATCGTTCACATTTCGGGGACGCCAATGTACGCTGTACTCCAATATTTATCAAATTGAGTGACGCGTATAATATAAATATAAATATTAACCAATTAAAAAAAAATATGATTTTAATTAATATTTTTATGCTGTACATCATGGCCTACTTCATTTTTTGATATTTTTAAAAAGCATAACCTCAAAGTTGTGTTAAAATATAATAAAAAATATACATCGAATGTTTGTTTTGGGTAATTAACCTAACCGAAATTCAAATAATGCGATTAAGGTACCATAAAGGATGCCTTGATCCAAGTTCCCAAGTTTCGACATCTTAGATTTAGGGGTGAATTCGTGAATAACAGCCGGTTTAATAACCAGTACCGTTTTTGACATGAAAAATTAGATTTAAAACTTGTATGCCTGATATTTTAAATAATTTGCATATTTAACGAAAAATAATCGATTATTTAAAAAAAAAGTGGTTAAAAATTGCCAATTAAAAGTTGTTAACCACACAATTAATTAGGTACAGGGTGATCCCCTATAATGTCGCCCCCCTTTAACTTTTTTATTTTAAGTGTCCCAAAAAATTTAAAAGTGTGGTTATGTAGGAACTAAAAAATACTTTTTTTCTACGTATAAAGAAAATTTTAAAATTGATCAGTATACAGGGAAAAACATAAAGCTTATTTTTTTTTCAATGGATCACCCTATATATGAATTTATTTTTCGATTCCTTGTAAAATTCTGAGCATAATTTATATAACAAACCATATACCTAAATTCAACTGTTTCTGAAATATTCGCATTCGAAATGTCATCATTAAATGTTTTTTAAACTGTTAAAAATCAAGAAGCCTCAGTATACCAAAATTTTTATTGAAAATAAATTACTATAGTGACATTATGTCAAAATAAGTTGTTAAATAAGTAAAAATGGCGTACTCAGACAGAGAAAGACAAACTATTTCAAGTTATTATCTTAAAAATAATTTAAATATTTCAGACACGGTTGAATTTAGGTATATGGTATGTTATATGAAATATGTTTAAAATTTTACAAGAAATCGAAAAATAAATTCATATATAGGGTGATCCATTGAAAAAAAATAAACTTTTTGTTTTTCCCTGTATACTGATCAATTTTAAAATTTTCTTTATAGGTAGAAAAAAAGTATTTTTTAGTTCCTACATAACCACACTTTTAAATTTTTTAGGACACTTAAAATAAAAAAGTTAAAGGGGGGCGACATTATAGGGGATCACCCTGTACCTAAAACTGTTATTAAATTTTTTTGTATACAAGCAATTTTGAACATACTGTAGCACCCCCTTTTAAAATAATTAGGTACTTTTTTAATAAATATTTAAAAATATCAAGTATACAAATTTGTAGAACTTTTTTTTTTAATAAAAAATACGGCTGTTTAAAGAACCGTCACGATTTGTCACGGCCAAGGGGGGAGGATTTTTTTAAAAAATCACGTGACAAACTAAATCGAATAAAATTACTTATTTGTTTCATTATTAGTTCAAATAAGAATTAAAAAATTTGTAGAATTAATGTTTTTGTAAAAAATAATATCGGTTGTTTTTACGATAACATAAAATATTTGCGAATTAACCCCTAAATCAAAGATAGCGGAAAAGCTGAAAGGGGTTTATGGACGAACACCTAGATTTAAGCTTTCTATATGGTGCCATCCAATAAATTGAAATAATAAAACCTAAATATACTAGACTAAACGGTTTTGGTCTATGTATTCAATTTTTTTGGTTTATTTGAAGCTCATTTATAAATAGGTTAATTAACCAAAACGCACAAACAAACTAAATATTAAAAACTAATCAAAAATATTCCCAAACCCAGCACAAGCAAATACGCCAAGTACGTGTCATAACACGACCACACTTTGACCTTAGGTCATAGCCATTCTAGGTTATGTGGGAATCTACCTGGATCTTAAAACTACTCAAAAAAATTAAAATAAAAATTGTATTTTTTAAGAAAAAATTTGATAATTATTTTTTTAACAAAAAATCGAGGTGTGATTTTAAAATATATAAAATATACAGATGGCCATGATTTACAGCATTAAAACATGATTTAAAAACATTTTAGTTTTTTAAAATTGATTAATATTTTTGGAAGATTTACTAAACCACTGTAAACCCTGACCGGAATACTTAACGCTCTGTATAAACGAAACTGGGATGACCAGATGTCGAGGCAGATAGGCGGCAGGTTATTATTTTTTAACAATTATTTTAAAAATATATAAAGGTAAATACATACAATAATATATTATATACAATGTATATTATAAATAAATTAAGTTAAAAAAAATCCGTTTAAAATAATTAAAACCGAAGTTTTTCTCTTGAGGTGGCAATATTTGGCTTACCTACCTTATACATACAGTTAAGGCTTTTACCTCGACTTATTTTGCTTTGAAAACCGTTAATATTTTTCTTAGTTTTACATTAATTTTTATTTTTTAATAGGGTATTTTTGTATAAATTGTTAAGCGAAAACTAACGAATAAACTTAACTGCATGGGCAAACAAAACCTTAACGCAACTTTTGTATGCACATTTACTTTATAAATTATTCTAAACTCAAATAACAATTCAATTTGAAAACAACATATTTCCATAGTATTTTTGCAAAATTATGCAATCATCAACCACTTTAATACATGGATAAAGGTCGATTAGAGGAATACCTCAAGTTATCTTGACAAGAAGGCAAAAATCGAACATTGGTAACAAATTAAATTAAGTTATTTTTAAATCTGAGCCTGTGAAATTTAGATACTTGGATGCTGTTTGACCAGTCTTAGTTAAAAATAAACATTTTTAAAATAAGATAAGAAAAATAATTAAATAAAAACCCTTATTTAAAATTGTTAATGCCACTTTTGTGTAAACGTAACAGAATCATTATTGTAATGCTAAAATAATTTAATTTAAACAAAATTCAATAAGAATAAAAAACCAAATAATTCAAACAAAATAATGCTTGAGAATCTCAAGTTGAGATACTACTTACCTACAAACAATATTGCAGAAAACAAAAAGCATAAACTAAACCGTTTCATTGTAGAAAAGTTAAAGTTAAAATTAATTTTTCACTGTATAACTACAACCATTGCAACGTTAAGAATAATAAACGTTTCGTGTTAATTCGACTACCAGGAATCATTAAGATGCTAATTATAATTAACGATAATGGCTATCCCAATAAATCATCCCAACAAGGTTACATTTTTGTTTAAACTTTCGCATACATTTTAATAAAATTTCATTTTACGCTTGTTAATTAAAATTATCGTTTTAACGTTAAAAATTAATTGGATTAACTTTTAATTGCAGGAAAGTTAACTAGGAAAAATGAATGAATTAAATATCATTAAAAGTTTGGTTTTGTAATATTTAATAATTTACTAATTTTAAAATAATTCCGCCATTATAAATATTTTAAACTTTACCTTGAAATTTTTATATGGTCCTGACTCTTCCACATCAATAAATATTTAAATTTACAAGGACTTTAATATCAACAAACAGCTAAGATAATATTGTTAATAATTTTATTTTAGAGTATAAAGCCCGCTACACAATTGCCCGGTAACGGGAATGGGAACGGAAATCTGAACAGTAAAGGTGGGAGAGACTAACAACTGTTGATGGATAATGTTTGCCGAGTCTCTCCCACCTTTACCGTTTAGGTTCCCGTTCCCGTTCTCGTTACCGGGCTGTTCTGCAGTGGGCTTAATAGTATATTATATATCAAGTAATATTCACGCCATTTAAGTAACGAGTTTTATTATGCACGAGCAAAGCTTGCGAGCGAGTGTTTAGTAAAAACTAGTGCCTAGATAAATTTATAAAACGAGTTGCATACTTAACTTTATCTACGACAAACACACTGTTTAAAATATCTGTGGTGTAAAAAGTAATCTTAAAATGGTGTCAATATCCAACACCAAGTGGTGTTAATATAACACCATGAATAATGGTTGTAAATGTTATATACAGCAAACACCAAAAATCTCGCCTCTGTTGACTTACATGAAGAGTATATAAGCTCAGGTAGTCCTTTGCTTTGGTGTGACTACAAGTTGTTCGATACTAAAGAGACCTTAAATAGGTGGAAACAGCTGTCAATACTTGAAGTATTTTAAGTAAGTGGAACGAACTAAAAACATTATCTTTAGCGAGTTGAAGGTTTAATTTTCTGGAATAAAACTACCACTGGTAAAATACTAGTAATGCCTCAAGGAACTTCCTGTTTTCTTTTTTTCCTTTTTTCTGTGAAGTATGATTTAATTTGACCAAAAACACATAATATTTAACACTGAAAAGGAGTTCAATTTACACCAGGTAAAATTTATTTTAATACTGTGTGAAAGTTAAATTAACACTATTTTAGTATTTGAATTTACACCGGACCAACGAACCATATTTAACACCATTTTGGTTTGTATCGATATAGACCATGTATGGTGTTAATTTGGTGTTAAAATGGTCATGAAATTTTGAACAGTGCAGAAATAAGAATTTAAAGCCAATTTTCATAATTAATAAATATATGAAATTTGACGAATTTGACCTCACTTTTTCGCAATTTAAATAAAGACAACTTCAGACCGTGACTAAAATGCCCAAAAGCCACTGTTGTTAACTTCAGCTCGTGTCTAAAACGCCATAAAGTCACAGCTAGTCAATGTAGCAGTAGATGAAATACATTATTATACATTTAAAGACAGTAACCGCTGATGACACGACCATTGACATAGTAAGATGAGGAGGTGGAAATACAGGGTGTTTCAAGTCAAATATACTTTCCTCCTGCTTTTACTGTTATGTGTATTAAATTAAACAAATTTTGTTGGACTGTTGTATCAATGCCATCAGTTATAACTATAAAATAATAGATTAAACTGAATCACATTATTAGACTTGACATGGCGCGACACTAGACAAATTAGACTTGACAAAGACTCAACAGCTCTATAAAGCTCTAAAATAACATTTAATGTAAACGGACGAGTTCGTTATGAAACGGAAATGGAAATAATAAATATTAAATTTTGTACAATATTAAATAATAATAATAATGATAACAATTCCTAATAATAATATTAATAATGAATTTAAAAATAAAACAATTTAAGAACAATTGTTACAAGTTAACTTACATAAATATAATATATCCAAATTTTCTAAAAATTAATTTAAAAAAGTGTGAATTTTTGTGGTACGCGTACTTTTGTTTAGAAAATAAATTTTCTTTTTTAAAGTTATCATTATCTTTACTTTTCCAACACCAGTCTAATAACTGATTTTTTACTGCTTTTCAAAAATTAAAATTAATTTTTATCAAAATCACCTTTCCATACTATGGTTTCGCTGTACGCCCACGATATATTATATGAGGCATATGACACCAAGCGGACAACAAAAAAATCACATTTTAACCAAACCGTTATTCTATTTTTAGGACATATTTAAATTTTTTAAACCAATCCAAATTTTATTAAAAATATTTAAAATTTGTGGTTACTCTAAAATCAAATTTAAAATTTTAATTTACGACTAAAAAAATTTACTCAAAAACTATACCCAAATGTTTTTTTTTACTATTTTTTTAACAAGATAGCCGCCATTAAAAAACACAATCCAAGATTTTTCCAAAAATTAAAGTTCAGATGCATGCACACCAGTTTTTACCTTACAAAATTTTACAGGCATAATCTACATCTGTACCTCAGAGCCAAACTGTATTTAGACCTTTTTAAAATTACATTACACATTTTTTGCCTAAATTTTTCCTTTGTGAAATTCAAAAGGTTAACTACTTGGGGACATCCATTATTTACGTGAGATAAAAATAGGGGGGGAGGGGTCTAGCAAAATCTCACCAAATCTCATGTTAAGGGAGGGGGGATCATTAAAAATCTGACGTCAACTTTTGGGTTCAAAGAATATAAGTATTAAAATTCAAATTTGTCAAAAAAAAAGAATTCAATTTTTATTTTTTGGGTTTATCATGTTGTCCGTAAAGAAAGTTTAATGGCTAGAATCTCACGTGAGGGATAGGGGGGAGGTCTACCACATCTCACCAAATCTCACCAAGGGGCAGGGAGGGGTCCAAATTATCAGAAAAATGCCTCACGTAATTAATGGATGTCCCCTTAGTTTTTTAATACATCAAATACTGTTTATTAATTATTTGATACACGTTAACTATGTAAATATAAAAACATCTATGTTTTGAAAGTTTCCCGTAATTAAAACATAGTTGTTTTTACATTTACATAGTTAATATGGAGTTTCATCAAGTAAATGACGAATCAATTAATAATATGATAAATTTTATAATTTTTGTGCCTTAAACACTGATTGTGTATGTTTAAATTAGGAAGCCTTTAGGGTTCGATAAATTAAATTAGTAGTAAAAACCTATATACCATTGGTAAAACACAATTTATAGATAAAAGGTTCGCACTGTCTTATGTTACCTGCTTTGCAAAAAAAAACTTATTTAATTAAAAACTCGCTCGCAAGCTCCCTCGTGCCTAATTATAAATTGTAACTAAATTGGTGTTTATCAAACTTGATACATAATACACTTTTATTATATGAGTGATAAAATAATATTACATTTTTACACTAGTTGAAATAAACCCCTTTTGACAACCAAAATCGTGGATATCTGAATAAAAAAATATATATGAAACACATTTCAAATACTTTTTGATTTCTATAGATATACACAATAAAAATAATTATATCTATTTTTACTCGTTAAACATTTTAAACCGTATATTTGAAGCCAGTGACTCGTAAAAATAAAACTAATGATATTGTGCACAGTATATATTAATATTGTACCTTTCTTCTTTGTTTAAATTTGTTCTGAAGTTTCTAATTCAGCTATACAGATCACGTAGTGTTCATCCCCCTGGCTATTGATTGACTATGGCCAACTTTAGAATCCTAACGAATCCGATCCTTTGTAAACACGCAGACCAAAAAATACCCACCGAATTTTAAAGAGCTAAATTTGTAAACCTTACTTTATTTAAACATTTTAACCTATTTTTATAAATGCTTACTAGGTCAATAAAGGTAATTTATTACAAAGTATCTGCATAGGAGAAATATTATTAAAAGTTTATGTGTAAATACCATCTATAGGTAATTGAATAAACAAAAAAGTATTTAAGACACTTTAACTTAATATAAATAAAATAATCATATTAGTATTTTTTAAAAATGTTTTAATATGAATACCCACTTTTTTCAAAACTTATTTTGTAATAGCAAAAATATTACTCCTCAGGTAAAAAAAATACGAGCAAAGTTCACATTTTAGGTTTGCCAAAAGCACTGAAAAAATATTTTTTAGGAGTAAAATTATTTTTTTTTGTATTTTGTAAGAAAATTGTATTGCCCATAAAACAGGTTGTTATTAATTTTTGCATAAATTTTTGACATTTTATCTTAAAATTCTCATTTTTTATAAGTAAAATTGCAATTATCTCTGCAACTACAATGTATATGTACATATATATTATATATTTTTGTAAACAATTAAATTTACCAACAAAATTTAATAACATTTTTTTACTCATATTTTTTTTAAGTGACAATACGAAGTCTACAAGCTTTTAAGTACATTTTGGTGAATTTTGCATTAGAGCAATTTTATGGTTTGCACTAAGGCAATGATGATTTATATTGCAATGGTGTTTGAGTGGAACATTGTAAAATCTATTACTAACGTGTTTAACATAAAAAACCTGTAATAAGTTTAAAATTGATCATTTAAAAGAACATTTTGAAAACACTCCATACGTACTTAACGTACTATGTAACCTTACTAATCTTCTTAATTTTGTGCTTTGCGGTATTAATTCAATAATCCTTTTCTATTCTCCTTATTTTTAATGCACATCCATTTATAAGAAAATTATATGTGCTCCTTTTGGAAGCGTATCTATATAAACAGTACTGTCACGTGTCACTTAGAACCAGGATTGTGAACCGTAACAAAATTTTTATCCATTGACCGGTTTGGTGAAATGATAAAGAAATGCTGATATTCAGTTGAATAATAAATTTGATAAATTATTTTACCTACAGTTCTACAATGAACTACAGTTAACGATTAAAATTGGCTTTTAATTCTTATTTGTGTTCGTAGATAACTACGTATGCAACTTGTTTTATAAACTTCTTTAGGGACTCATTTTTTAACTCTCTCTTGCAAGCTTCACTCGTAACTAAAATAGCGTTTATAAAACTTGATACATAATATACTATTATCTACTCCTACATTGACGAACTGTGAATTCACCCCGTATATGCATATTATTTAATAACTCTTTCCACTCAATTCACTTAATTATTTTATTGCTATTTTTGTAATCGTAAACCATTTTTTCACTAAATAATCATTAAACATATTTCAATTAAGGTCTCTGGTGCCCACTGAACATTTTTAGAGTTTGCCTTATTTTTGCCCAGTGCCCGAACTAAGAACAGTTAGCCGTTTGCACTACTTTTGCAGTAACAGTAACTTAAATTTAGAATAATTTATATTATTCTAATAAACTGTTACAGTTGTACAATCGCGCTCAATTTAAGCTACAAAATAACTAAAACTCACTACTTTAAAAATTACCTTATATTTATTTAGTTATTACGTCAAGCTATTTTTAACTAAACGAAGAATGTTAACAAAAATAAATGGTGGTTTTTAATAGTATTGCCAGATTTTTAGTTCATTAAATAAATTCTACAAATTTTCCCCATATTCTTAATTCGCAAAATGCATTATAAACCCGTTAATGCATACACCATTTTAATAGTTTAATAAATAAAGATTTTTTCATACAAAGTAAAAAGTTTTCTCTTCAAGAGGTCTATAAATTAAACTTACTTTTTAATCTTAATAATTGTACGTTTTATGTATCGTTTTACAAATAAAGTTAGCTTTAAATTCTAAAAAGTTGAAGATAAATATTGCATGCCATTAGGCTTAGTAGGTATTTTTGTGCTTCGCCCAATTGTAGGCCTCCGCTATGCGAACTTTGAGTTCAGCAAAAAAAAAGTTTATATACAAAAGTGCTCTTTTAGTTCCACCCTTACTTATTAAGAAGTCCCATAAGCCAACCGAATGGCTTGTGCGGGTTAGTGGTAGGAACGGACCGCGGGCTTTAAGTCCCCTCCGAAGGACTATTACACAATAGGACAAACACAAAACGAATTACTTCTTGGCTTAATGATATAAATAACTTTTATTTAATTACTTAGATGTACAAAAATAAATATTTGTTGTATTACTTAGAAGTCCAATGTTTGCACATTGGTTGCTAATAGCATTTCTGTTTATTTTAAGAGCAATGCATTTTCTCAGAAATTATCCCAAATAGGGGTTTCTGGTTTAAAAAAAATATGGGAGCAAATCGCCTAATTTGCGATAAAGCGCCCAATATATAATAAAAGTCACGGCTCGGCGATCGTTTAAGCGATTAGACACGTCACGTCACTGATAGTTTTACTTTAAATTAAAAAAAATTTCAATACTTAAAATTGAATTGAAATTAATTATTATAGACTATTTCAATCAATGGTTTCAAAGTAATCCTTAAACAAAGGTATTATCTAATGCATAATTATAATCACAGTGTTTTTAATATTAAAAAAAGCATGTTCTTACACTTAACTTGAAGGAAATTTCTGGCGGCAATATAAAAAATATATTGTTCTTTTCAGGTCATGGTATACTCGCACTCAACGTCCCGTCTGAAACGACCGGAAGTTGTATGTTGCAGACAATGATTAACTGTACGGACTTCAGTAAATGCGATCTACAAAGTTCGTCCCAAATGCGTCTGGTTGGACCAGTCAGGGACGTCATCATTCGGCCGGCTAAACACACTTACCGACCCGGAGAGACCGGTAAGCTTTCTATTAATTACTGTACATTTAATTAAATATTTTTGTTAATGAAGCATTACAGTTTTTGTAGGCTTATAAAGTTTAAATAAATTATAATTATGGGTTTATCAATTTTCTTCAAAAACTCTGCTAACTAAACCGACAAATAGAGCAAAATTGACCCTTCGTTAGACGTGCGGCTTATTGTAGCGACGTTAGCTGCAAAGTATTTTGTGGGATTATTTTTATCGATTAGTTCTTAAAATATAGAAATTAATATTTATTAAAAAACTTTTTTATTAATAAATTATTTTTTATATAAAATTCTTAAATGTTTATATGGTTATAACTGAATATACAATCGTTTGGAACATTAAGTGTAACTTTTGAAATATCGAAAGTATTAAAAATGATTTTAATAAAAGTTGTTTGGTAGTTCATTTTAAATTTTACGATGATTGCCAACTTAAAAAAATAAATACGTTGGAGGTGGTCAACTTTTTATATCAGAATATGAAATAGGAAAATAGGAATGATATAGTTTTTTTTGAGGCTTTACATCGTTTACCTGATTCATTTTTAATTTGACATTCAGTGCAATTTTCACATGTAATAGTGTGCTAATAGTAAAATAAATAGCTACCGTTTTAAAAAACAATGCGTACGGAAAAGAACTGAAATTTGAATAATGGTTGGGTATGGTGACCAAAAAAGGACTCAGCAAGATGTATGTGTATTATTTAATGCCACGTATCCGGAAAAGGACCCTCTGACACAAAAATGCATATAAGCAAAGTTCTAAAAAAAATTCTGAAACCGAAAGTGTGAAAAATAGAACTAGAAGCGGTCGACCACTGCTGGAGATTAGAAGGTTGTAATCAAGATCCAAATTTCTGAAGAAAATTTTTATTTTCGGGTGAGGCCACATTCATGCTAAACGGTTTTGTTAACTGTCATAACTGCCGCTACTGGAAACCGTCAATATATGAACGTGACTCATCCGACACATTCGTACGAAGCAATCTATCGAAGGTCACGGTCCAGTGCAGTCTCGTTTGTAAAAAAATTTGAGTGTAATGTTGGTTGCTATACTTATGATATATTTGCTTTTAAAGTTAAATAATTAACATCTAACATAATTAACATCTACGATAATTAAATAAAATGTAATTTTCTTAGAAACTAATTAATAAATAATTAACATCTAACATAATTAACATCTACGATAATTAAATAAAATGTAATTTTCTTAGAAACTAATTAATAAATAAAATTTTCTTTTAACTTTAATGAAATATTCTATCATCTGATTACAGAACGTACACTCGTGGCGACATCTCTGATTTTAATAACAAATTTTTAGACCGACCCAACCTCACTTTCTTCCAATTAAATTCTTAGTATAGTCTGAAACACGTTTGGAATTGCATATTCCCCTCTCGTGAAACCGTCAAACTTGTTACAGAATATACTATTCTTTTAACTGTAAACGCAAATATTTCAGAATTGGTGACAAAAAACAAAAATGTTTACGCAGGTCAGGTACAAAGTGAAAGATATTTAAATTGTGTGGATATAAAAACAACTTGCGTTAGTTTCACGAAATTTATTAAATATTGACAATTGTTTCGCTACACAGTAGCTTCTTCAGAATGTATTAAACTAATACTAGTACAAAATTTATATGTATAATAAAAATATTTTTGTATTCTAGCCTAGAATTTCTAGGTAAGGATTTTTATACGACATCTACCTGTGTTACATAATATAAACCACTGCCACTACAACGTTTAAAACGATTATTAATCCGTAAACACACAGTAGAAACAAGATATGCAAAAACAAAGATCATATGACATATAAAAACAAATGGCCGACGGTAAAGTTGGTTGCCTTACTATGTAATAAAATAAAATAAATTCCTAAAACACGAACTCTACTGACTTCCAATAAAATTAAGTAACAAGCTAGGACACAAGCGTCATATGTCCATCTTTGTCCAACACCTAGGCAGTTTTACATCACAGATGGCGCATTTTAGACCGGATGCTTAAAAACCTACGTGTGAGTACATTTACCGCTGCATCGAATGTACAAGACAAGTAAAACATTACTGCTAGCATGTCTGAGATATGTTCGGCACCCGATGAGTCACGTTCATATATTGACGGTTTCTACTGTACACAGCACCCTTAAAATATAAATGTATGGGCAGAAATAATTGACCAACATATAATAGGACCATTTTTATTTGGGCAATCTAACTGCAGAACAATATTTTAACCTCCTCCAGACAGATATCGCAGTAAGGACGCTGCGGAAAATAATGAAATAGACGACACCATTTGGTTTCAGCAAGACGCTCCACCACATTTCGGTTTGGCAGTAAGAAGATACGTATCCCAGGTATTTTCTAACAGGTGGATTGGTAGGCGAGGGCCAATAGACTGGCCTGCTAGGTCTTCAGACCTAACACTATTGGACTTTTTATGGGGTTATTTGAAATCAGTGGTGTACAAAAATAGGCCGGGCAATTTTCAAGCTCTCAGAGAAAGAATAGTTGATGAAATTCATAATGTTCAAGACGTTGCAACGCGTTGGCTGCAAAATGTAAAACAAGAATTTGAAAATCGTTTAGCAAACATTTTAAAAACCTATTTTAAGTACTTTGGGCAATCATATTCTTATTACCTTAATTATAAAAATGACATAATCAACAAAACGTCAAATTTACAATTTGCATCTTACTCTATTTTTTGACAGAATCTGAAAGAGTGAAACCGGCAACGCGTTTTTGTATAATATTTATTAGACATATATTTGTTATCTGCTACATATGATTGTTCTTTGCTATAAAATGTCCTTTAGATCTTTTTTGAATAAACAGGAAAAGACATTTCTTCTAAACATCTGAAACTTCGTTTAGCTTCTGCCGGTCATTCCAAAGATATCAGTCACAATATTTAGACCGTGACCACAAAATTTTACATGTAAACTGTATGTGTAATTTATCTAAGTTTTTATCAAATCTTTTCGCAACAAAAGATGGTTGGGTAACTCAAAATTAAGTGGCAAAAAAATAGATGAAAACGTAGATAAATGTATATGTATACATATCAAAAATAGGTATATATTTTTTAAACTTCCAGGAATAACAAAGTTTTTTTCAAATTATTTGCTTTTTTCCAATTTTTAAATCCAATTTAATAGACTTTGAATTTCTGAATTTATATTAACTAAATACCTATTTATAAATTAAAGGTCTTAATAGATAGATAGGTGTTAACTAACATCTTCGTGTTACGCAAAAATATGGTATACTTTATTATTTATAAATTTAGTTACTAAGTTACTACCCTTTAGCAGAACAAAAACATGTTAGTTAATACCTTTATTCATCAACCTCTTTAACTATAAACTCATTGAAACGAAAAATTAAAAAGTGTGTATTTGTGGAACGAACATAATATTTTAAGAGTAGGTACTGATTTTTACAAATTTTAGTAAACTCTTTTGATCTACTCTCTAATAATGAATTAGTCAAAAATTGTCATAGCGAAAAAGCATCCACTAATAATTCAATAGCAATTTGTATCCCAAACATTTAGCAGTCAATTTTCATGTAAAATTAATAATAATAATATTTATTAGTGCTATTACCAAAAGGTTTACAACGTCAGAAAAATACAAATATAAAAATAGTACAAGAAATGTAAATATAAATTAAACAAAGAATATAATAAAATAAGGACACAATTAAAAGGTAAAATTTAAAAACTCATCAATAGAATAAAATAAATGAGTAGTAAAAAAGGATTTTAAAAACAGTTTGTATTCATTAAAAGCCATATTTTTTACATTATTTGGGGGTTTGTTAAAAAAATTAATTTCATAAAAATCAGTCTAGAGAATTGATTAATTAAGTTGCCCTTATTTCTGGTGTTATGGTTATGTACACAGTCATGACTTTTATATAAGTTTAAATTATTTTTTACGTATAGTAAATTATGAAAAATAAATAAGGCAGGAAAAGTCATAATTCCAAGTCTTCTAAATTCAGCCCTGCAATCGTCCCTATAACCAAGGGAGGCAATAATTCTTATAATTCTGCGTTGCAGACTAAATATTCTGTGTGACTCAGAGCAATGACCCCAAACAATTATGGCATACGAAATATGCGATTAAAATAAGGAAAAATAGGCACTAGCCAATACTTCACTGGACACACTACCAACAACCAATAAATATATTGGTATTCAACCTCTTTGATAGTGAATCTATGTGACTGTTTCATCTTAATTTGCTGTCAACATGATTCCAAAAAATTTAATGGGTTCTGACTTGTTTAAGTCATTAAAATCTCTTAAGGAGAAAATATTGTTCTGTGTCTTGCCCTTGTTTAGGACTAATTCTCGGTGAACCATTTTTCAGCCCGCGAAATTGCTCTCTCGCTCCAAAAGTTCAAGATTTTTATCTTTTACTACAATTGTGGTATCATCAGCAAATAGTGTTAGATCAGTCGAGTTACTAATGTTAGAAAGGTCATTTATAAATATCAAAAATAGGATAGGTCCAAGAACAGAGCCTTGAGGTACCCCCACTTTCACAGTTTCCCTTTGACTCAATTCATTCCCAATTTTGCAAACTTGATGTCTATTTGATAAATATGATTGAATTAGTTTTACACTATTTTCAGAAAAATTGTAGGCTTGAATCTTTTTTAGAAGCAGAGAGTGAGAAACAGAGTCAAAGGCCTTGCTTAGATCACAAAACACTGCATTTGCAAATACAAGATTTTCGAAAGAATCTTCTATTGTTCGTACCATTTGCAGAATTGCAGATGTGGTATTTTTACCCTTCCTGAAATCATGCTGACACTCACTAAATATGTTGTTTTCTTCAAAAAAATCAACAATTCTATTGGCCATGCATCTTTCAATAATCTTCGAAAAAAACAGGCAAGATGGATATGGGCCTGAAATTGTTGGGGTCATTTATATCACCTTTCTTATAAATTGGTA